TTACAAAAAAGAACACACTGGGGAGGTACGGCCGGAAAATCCCAGTGGTCACAGCAGGGCCTAGAATTCCTAGCAGTCGGGCCTTAGGAAACGTCAGCCGAAGGAAAAGGTCACCCAGGTGGACACTGACCAAGCTGGCCGGGATCCACTGGGCTGCCTACAAGATTCCTCATTCCAGCCCCTTCCCCACAAGGTTTTGGGGCAGCAGGTATTGGGGCTGCTCAGGGAGTCGGGCGGGGAGGGGAACCCTGCACGCAGCTTAGCCCTGAAAATTGCAGCACGTGTCCCGGGAGAGTGGGGAAGGAAGCGTTGCCCATGGTTTGGCCACGGGAAGGAAAAGGGGACAGGCGGAAATGAGCCCGGGACACCGGGTGGGTGCGAAGGCCTTACCCAACGAGGCTATAAGTGCAAAGTTCTCCAGCATCACGTCGCAGTACAGGAGTCTCTGAGCCTCATCAAGGAGCCCCCACTCCTCCTGGGAGAAGTAAATGGTCACGTCCTCAAAGGTCACACAGCCCTGCCATGATGGGGACAGTCCATTCCACGATCAGCTTCTCTCCTCAGGACTCCCTGTCTGTCCCCTGCTCCCCCACCTCCCCAGCTTCCCAACTCAGAGGAGATCCCAGGCCCTGGTTCCACGGATGTCAGCTCTTTTCTCATGCCTCACCTGACCCGCGTCAGTCCCCCCACAGGCGGGTGAGCAGCGAGACACCAGCTAAGCTCTGGGCCTGAAGTGCAGGGCCCCACCCTCTTCTGTGGGCCCCCTCCCATGCCACCAACTTCAGGCTTTCCACATACAAACATGGACTCAGTCTTCTCCCTTAATCCCCAGTACCAGGCCCCTGGGGCCAACGGCTCACACTCACTCCTTTTTTTTTTTTTAATTTTTTTTTAATGTCCATTTATTTTTGAGAGAGAGAGAGGGAGACGGAGGGAGAGGGAGGGAGAGGGAGGGAGAGGGAGGGAGAGGGAGGGAGAGAGAGACGGTGTGAGCGGGAAAGGGGGAGAGAGAGAGGGACACAGAATCCAGAATCCAAAGCAGGCTCCAGGCTCTGAGCTGTCAGCACAGAGCCTGACGTGGGGCTCGAACCCACAAACTGTGAGATCATGACCTGAGCCGAAGTCAGACGCTTAACTGACTGAGCCACCCAGGTGCCCCTCACACTCCTATACACATAACACGGCCTGGACTGCACCTTGTATCCCTATTGTCACTGTACCCTCCCCCATCCAAGCCCACATCATAGCCACCTCCAAGGACCCTCACATGTCACTCTGCACATGGCATCCAGAAATTCTTAGCAAATACAACCCAGACCCTTGGGTGGCTCCCACTGCCAAGGGCAACACAGACCAAAAGGTCTCCCCGCCCGGCCCTTTTCTGGCTTCAATCTAAGCCATGCAGAACCACACAGACATCAGATACCCTTGGGCCTCCTCCACTTCGGTGTGGCACATCCTGTCCCTTCATCAGTCACACTCTGTGACTCTGGTTCTCACCCACTCAGGGTCTAGTGGCTCTCCCAGCTGACCCCACTTGCCCCTGAGCTAATTCCCCAGCCCAACTGAAAACCTCGAGGCCCCATCAAGGGTCACTACAAAGGCCTGCTGGGAACGCAAAGGGGTGAATAAGCACAGCCCAGGGCTCAGTGTAACAACAGCTCCATTACTGCTGAGCCTCCCCATCCCACCCAAATCCACACCACCTGCCAGACTCCTCCCTCCTTACACAGCCCACCAGCTGTCCCCCACCACCACGAGCGCTACTCTTCATGTTTGTCTTTTTTAAAAAATATTTATTTTGGGGAGAGCGCAAGTGGGGGAGGGGCAGAGAGAGGGGGACAGAGGATCCCCAGCAGGCTCTGTGCCGACAGGCTGACAGAAGCGAACCCCTGTGGGGCTTGAACTCACGAATCACAAGAGCATGACCTGAGCTGAAGTTGGATGCTCAACTGACTGAGCCACCCAGGTGCCCCCATGTCTGTCTTTATAATGCCAAACAAGCCAATCATAGTCCCCTGTTCTCAGTTCTCAGGCCCCACCTTCCTCTTTCCCTCTAGTGTCACTGCCACCATGACCTGCAAGTTCACCCTCCTGAACTGGACACACAACCACACCCTCGTCCACATACCAGATGCCACATTTTAGATATTTTAACTGTGGAAATAAACAAAGAGCAACCAAATAAGAAAAGCAAAGGTATTTAACCAATTTTTTTTAATGTTTATTTATTTTTGAGACAGAGACAGAGCATGAACGGGGGAGGGGCAGAGAGAGAGGAAGACACAGAATCGGAAACAGGCTCCAGGCTCTGAGCCATCAGCCCAGAGCCCGACGCGGGGCTCGAACTCACGGACCGCGAGATCGTGACCTGAGCTGAAGTCGGACGTTTAACCAACTGCGCCACCCAGGCGCCCCAAGCAAGGGTATTTATACTGAGCTTGCTATAGCAAGGGAGAGCGCTACCATCACTTATGTTTGGCCACCTCCAAGGCAGGCAGAGGCGTGGGAAAGCTTTATAGAGGAAACGGGAAGGCTTCAGATGTGCCCTGACTGGGGGCTGTGGGCACGGGGAAGCGGCAGACAGGCTAACTAGAAATGGGGCGTCCTATGTGATGGGTTAGGGGTGCATATTTGGCTTTCTCTCCTTGGTCCCAAGGTGGAAGCGGGAACACAAATTACAGAAGCTGTCAGTTATTAATCAAGCCCTGGTCATTTGGGGGCAGTTGTTACAGAAACTATTGTTCCTGGATTGTCACTAGAGATAGCAATCTGGCTTCCTGAACTCTAATTTAAGCAGGCTGCTTCCTGGGTTGTTTATTGTAGATAAAGAGGTTGGTTTCCTGGGCAGGTCCCTGCAGGTTGTGGGTCAGAATTCTATTTTTATGTATGGTCTAGCCTTTGTCCTCTTGTGTATTCGGTCTCTCATAACCTTAACCAAACCTCACCAAAACACCAAAATTGGTGTCTACCTGCCCACTCAACTCCATTCAGGCGTCTCTAGAACATCAGAGCTCAAAAGGGCCAAAGCCTCACTTCTACTTTTATATTGAATATTCCTTCTACACCCAACCTCCCATCTCAGTTGATGGCAATCCATCCTTCCAGCTGCTGAAGCCAAAAACCACCCCTTTTCCTTCTCACCTTCCACATCAGAAAATCTGGTCAGCCTGACTTAAAAGGCGGATCTAGAACCCAATCATTTCTACCTCCAGCCACCTGCACTACTCATCCGAACTACTGCAATAGCGGACTCCTTGGTCCTCCTGCCTCCACCCTTACCCCAAGTCAATTTTCCACTCTGCATCCACAGGGAGCCTGTCAAGACCCGAGTCAGGTGTTTCCTCTTTTACTCTAACCCATCTATGGCTCCCAACACAGTCAGAATAGAGATCAAGCTCCTCAGCCTGCCATTCCGGGGCTCACGGTCTCCCAGCTGCTCTCCGGAACACTCAGGTCAATCTCACCTCCAGGCATTTGTGCACGCCGATTCCCGTGCCTAGAAAACCCTTCCTCGCGTCCTAAGATTTCGGAAATGGGAAGCGCTCTGTATAATCGCCGGCCTGGATTCAGCACCCCGGACCGGGCGTGGCTCCCCTCCAGCGCTCCCAGACTCAAAACCCGGAGAGAGGTGGGAGACGACAGAAGACAGACAAGGCCCACCTCCGCGGTCCAGGTGCGGGGCACGCGAACGTAGGGGTCGCGGCATACACCTGGGCACTCACCTGCGCCGGGTCCCTGAGCGCCGCAGCCGCCGCCATCGGGACCCGGTCTCGCAGAGCAGCCGCCAGAGACGAGTGGGCCCCCAGTGCCCCTCTCCCTCGCCTGGCCCCAGGTGCGGCGGGCCCTCGGGCTCCCGGCTAGTGCAGGCGCGCGGGACGCGGGGCACAGCCGGACCGGGCGGACCCGTGTCTCTGGGGCGCGGCACGGAGCAGGGTCCCAGCCCCCGGCTCCGGAAAAGCCACGAGTGACGCCGGCGCGCACACCCGGCCCGGGCTAGGACTGGCTGGCCTGGAACGCAGGAAGTTCCGGCCCGAAGCGGCGCCGAGCTCAAGGGCTGTCATTGGCCCGGCGCCAGGCGCGGACTCCTGGTTCAGCCTCCAAAGACCTGCGTTTCTCGTCCCGCCCACGCTCGGCCCCGCCGGAGGGCTGAGCGAGGGGGCGGCCCCGGGGCGGTGCTGGGGGCGGTGCGAGGAGGTGGAGCTGGGGCGGTGAGAAGGGGCGGAGCTGGGGCGGTGTTGGGGGCGGTGCGAGGAGGCAGAGCTGGGGCGGTGCTGGGGGCGGTGCGAGGAGGTGGATCTGGGGCGGTGCTGGAGGGCTCAGCGAGGAGGCGCATCTGGGGCGGTGTTGGGGGCGGTGCTGGGGGCGGTGCGAGGAGGCAGTGCTGGGGCGGTGCTGGGGGTGGTGCGAGGAGGCGGATCCGGGGCGGTGCTGGGGGCGGGGCGAGGAGGCAGTGCTGGGGCGGTGCTGGGGGCGGGGCGAGGAGGCGGATCCGGGGCGGTGCTGGGGGCGGGGCGAGGAGGTGGAGCTGGGATGGTGCTGGGGGCGGTGCGAGGGGGCGGAGCTGGGGCGGTGCTGGGGGCGATGAGAGGTGGTGGCACTGGGGAGAGCGCGCGGGTGGGTGATGCTAGGGGGGCGGTGTTGAAGGCGGAGCGAGGAGGGAGTGCTGGGCGGTGGTTCTGCGGACGGTGCTGGGGGCCGCTGCTTGGGAGGGGCGAGGCGGCGGTGCTCGGGGTGTGGTGAGAGGGGGCGGCTGTGGGGAGAGGGCGACATTGTGGGCGGCGAAGCGAGGGGTGGAGTGCTGGGGTGGATTCTGGGGGCGGTGCGAGGGGGTGGTGCTTAGGGGCGGTGCGGGGTGGTGGTATGGAACTGGAGGGCGGAGCGCAGGGGCGGTGCTGGGGTGGCACTTGGGGGAGTCTGGGGGGGGTAGTGCGAGGGGGTGACTCTGGGTGGGGGTTATCGGTGCGAGGGGGCGGTGCCGGGTGGAGGGGGGGGATGTTGGCACGCGCTCCGTTACCTGCTTCTCACTGGTTCCTTCTGGTTCTCTGTTGACACCGGAGCGCGAGCTTTTCCTATTAACGGGGCTGTCTCCAGACTTCTCTTTCTGGAACCAAGTCCCAGTCGCCCTCAGGTGTGTATCACGGGATACCCATTTCTGCGTGCGGGGACAGAGGCTGGTCCTGCAATTCTCAGACCTTTTGGGGGGGCCCAGGTTCACACTGACAATTGAAGGTAACACCTGATCTGCGGGGTCTGTGTACTAACATGGAATGTAGCTCTAATTCAGTGCTTCTCAGCATCATCTGGGAATTTGCATTAGCATCATCTGGGAATTTGTTAAAAATCCTCGTTTGGGGGCCAACAGCCCAAACCTAGGTACTTGGAAATTTTGCGGGTGGGGCCCAGCGTTCTGCATGTGAACAAGCAGTCCAGGGGACTCCAATTTGAGAAAAAGGAGTCTTGGTAAGTAACAAGGCCCAGGGTGTGCTTACTGCTGGATACTTAAGAGTCGTTATGGGGTGCGTGGATGGTTGAGTCCGTTAAGCGTCTGACTCCTGGTTTTGGCTCAGATCATGTCTCCCTCTCTCTGCCCTTTTCCCAGTCGCGCGCTCTCTCTCTCTCAAAATAATAATGTTTTTAAAAAGATTCATCATCATCATCATTGTTATCACAAGTCACAAACCCTGCTGTGAGAGGGCAAATCAGAGACCGTTCTCTGCATGGTAACTTATTTGTCAAAATAATGAGTCTCATTCAGCAAGTAGCAGCAGAGGTAATGATGATAATGCTTACATGAGCGCACACTTTTTACCATTTGGTTATTTTTTTGTATTCTTTGAAATACATCATGCGGGAGAGTTTCATCAACTACAGGCAGGCCTAGTGCACAAGGGACAGATTCTTACAGGCCACATGACTCAACATTTGAGAACAGCAGGGTTAGATGCCCTCAGGCCTAAGTGGGCAATGGAACTCACATGGTTTCACGTTTGTTACATAAGATGAGATACCATTACTCATCTCTGGTTCTCAGGCATTAAAGAAAAAGTTATACAAGACACTTGTTGAGAATGATAAGGCGGACTTTCTTCACGAGCCCTATCGTGTTAAGTATAGGGACCACTGCAGTAGGAGTTTGTAGTGAGAAAGAGTTTGAGAACAAGAGTTTCCTTGTTCTCCAGAGAGAACAAGGAAAAGTAGGAATTTATAGGCGCAGGTGGGAGGGAGGGGATGGGAAATTACTAAGAGGATACATCAGGGGATAAGAGGGGTTCCAACTGAACCGACTTAACAAGATTCTTGCTGAAGGCAGGTCAGGATGATCAGACCTGGGGGGTGTTGGGGAATGAGGGACTGGATCAGATATCACCCGTGATCCGATATGGAGGGTAGTTCTGGTCAAACTGACTTTAGGGTTCTTGCTACAATTAGACAATGCAGAGAGAAACATGGAAGTCTGAAAGCCAGGGCCTAGTTGAGAAGAGAATTCGGAAGTGTCTAAGTAGAGGTTGGTCAAAGAGAATATCACTGTCACAGGAACCAAAACCTGCGCCTCTCCTGACTACCCTGTCGTATTCAGAGCAGCCAGATCCAGGTACAAATATATGATCGCAAGACATCCCAGCTTGATGTCCGTTGGCTGGAGGCCCTTGTCCTCATCAAGACAGAATCAGCCCACCACCGCCTGGGCCTCTAGCCCACCAGGGAGCACTAAATCCTGGAGAGGTGAAAACGGAGGTCCAAGGAGGCCATACCAGGAAGGGGCACAAAATGAAGACATAATGAAGACGCAATTTCACGGTTACATCTGTCCATTTTTCATTGCCCCAAACTAATTTGCAACGGTCCAAATTAAATGTCAGGGAAGCTGGGTGTACAGAAAGAGAAAAAGAGATCGGTGAGCAAATATAACTGGCTTCAAAAACAATCCATCAGTTTGGTAACCAAATACTCATTTTGTATTTCTCCTACGCATGAACACTTGCTGCCCCTCCCAACCCAAAACCCCATCCCATCACCACCTCAATCTCAATCTTAGTACTTACATTCCGAACCTAACCTCATACCAGGAGACTACAGCAAAATAGGTTACTTATCACTTCTCGCTCCCGCTAGATAGCTGTGGTTCAGGGACCCGGTGAAAGGATCTTTTCAAACTGCTGAAGAAATTACCACCAACCTAGATTTCTATACATAGCAAAAGTGTCCCTCAAGAAAAAAGATATCTTAAAAAAGATTACTTCAAGCCAAAAAAGAAAAGGTTAATGGGAAATTAACCCACATAACACTCAATGCTAATGATTATAATTAAGAACAAGGAAAAGTGATTCCAGGTGAAATCTTCAGGGTGAAAGGAATGACGATATGAGAGAGGGGTGTGTTTGTGGACTCATGCAACTGTTCATTCTCTGTGTAAAACAGAAATAGGGGGCGCCTGGGTGGCGCAGTCGGTTAAGCGGCCGACTTCGGCCAGGTCACGATCTCGCGGTCCGTGAGTTCGAGCCCCGCGTCGGGCTCTGGGCTGATGGCTCGGAGCCTGGAGCCTGCTTCCGATTCTGTGTCTCCCTCTCTCTCTGCCCCTCCCCCGTTCATGCTCTGTCTCTCTCTGTCCCAAAAATAAATAAAACGTTGAAAAAAAATTAAAAAAAAAAAAACAAAACAGAAATACTATCTCCTGTGGGGTTAGAATGATGGCATTGCCATGCATACCTAAAAATCATAGTAATCGAAATGGGACAAAGTGATGGATATTCCGAGTTCCCTATATTGTCTGGAAGGAAGGTAAAGGTATTTATAACTCTGCGCTAATGGATTAAAATAAGTATTTGTAATTTTTTGCTTAAATAAAATAAGTAAAATCAAAGAAAATACTTTCCAAAGTAGAAAAATTGGGGGGTTGTAAATGAGTAGACAGTACTTTTTTTAATTTATTTTTTTTAACGTTTATTTATTTTTGAGACAGAGAGAGAGCATGAACGGGGGAGGGTCAGGGAGAGAGGGAGACACAGAATCTGAAACAGGCTCCAAGCTCTGAGCCATCAGCACAGAGCCCGACGCGGGGCTTGAACTCACGAACCGCGAGATCGTGACCTGAGCCGAAGTCGGACGCTTAACTGACTGAGCCACCCAAGCGCCCCTAGACAGTACTTTTAAAGTAGTGGGTAAAGAAGAAGGGAGGCAAAGAAAAGCAGAGAACCCAAATGCATCAACTTTTATACTAAGTTGCTATCGAATAAATATTCAGATTAGCAATCAGAGATTTTTTCTTTTTCTTTTTTTTTTCCTTAACGTTTTTTTATCAGAGACAGAGAGCGACAAAGCATGAGCATGGGAGGGGCAGAGAGAGGAGGAGACCTAGAATCCGAAGCAGGCTCCAGGCTCTGAGCTGTCAGCACAGAGCCCAATGCGGGGCTCGAACCCACAAACCGCGAGATCATGACCCGAGCCAAAGTTGGACGCTCAACTGACTGAGCCACCCAGGTGTCCCAGCAGTCAGAGATTTTTAATGGCTCAATATGTCCCTGAAGGATTCGTCTTAATTATTTTTTTTTATTTGAGTGTAGCTGACACACACTAGTTTCGGGTGTGTAGTGTAGTGATTATACACGTTTATGCATTGTGCTCACCACGAGGAAGCTACCATCTGTCCCCATACAATGTGACCACAATATCGACGGTACTTCCCATGCTACAACCCTCATTCCTGTGACCTAATCATTCTATAACTGGAAACCTTTTTTTTTTTCAACGTTTTATTTTTATTTTTGGGACAGAGAGAGACAGAGCATGAACAGGGGAGGGGCAGAGAGAGAGGGAGACACAGAATCGGAAACAGGCTCCAGGCTCTGAGCCATCAGCCCAGAGCCTGACGCGGGGCTCGAACTCACAGACCGCGAGATCGTGACCTGGCTGAAGTCGGACGCTTAACCGACTGCGCCACCCAGGCGCCCCAATAACTGGAAACCTTTTATCTCCCACTCTCCTTTACTCATTTCGCCCATCTCCCTTCCCTATGGCAACCGTCGGTTTATTCTCTGTATTTATAGATCTGATTCTGCTTTTTGTTTATCCATTTGGGATTTTTTTTTTTTTTTTTAGATTCCACGTATGGATGAAATCGTATGGTATTTGTCTTTCTCAATGTGGCTTCTTTCACTTGGCTTAGTACCTTCTAGGTCCATTTGTGTTGTCACAAATGGCACACACTCATCCTTTTTTATGGCTGCATAATATTCCGTCCACATCTTCCTTATCCATTCATCTATCGGTGGACTTCTAGGTTGCTTCCATATGTTGGCTATTGTATATAATGCTGCAATAAACATAGGGGTGCATATATCTTTTTCAAATTAGTGTTTTCTTTTCCTTTGGGTAAATACCCAGTTAGTGGAATTATTGCATCATACGGTATTTCTGTTTTTTTGAGGAGCCCGCATACTGTTTCCACAGTGGCCATGTCAATTTCCATGCCTACCAACAGTGCACAAGTGTTCCTTGTTCTCCACGTCCTTGCCAACACTTTGTTATTTCCTGTCTTTTTAAATTTAATTTAATTTAATTTTTAATTTTTTTTTTTTACATTTTATTTATTTTTAAGAGAGAGAGAGAGAGACAGAGCAAAAATGGGGGAGGGGCAGAGAGAGAGGGAGACACAGAATCCGAAGCAGGCTCCAGGCTCTGAGCTGTCAGCACAGAGCCCGAGGCAGGGCTCGAACCCACGAACTGTGACATCATGACCTGAGCCCAAGTCAGTTGCTTAACCGACTGAGCCACCCAGGTGCCCCTGTCTTTTTTTATTGTAGACTATCAAACAGGCATAAGGTAAAGGATTAAATTTTAAAAATTAATAGACAGTATATTTAGAGCAGTTTTAGGTACAGCAAAATTGAACAGAATGTATAGTGTTCCCATATACCTTTTCCCGCACATGTGCACTTAGGTTCTCCTCCCTCAACATCTGCAGAGTGTTGTGCATTTGTTACAATCTATGAGCTGACATTGACACATCGTTATCAAGCAAAATTAACCTTCAGTTTACATTTGAGTTCACTGTGTTGTACTTTTGAGACAGGGAAACTGAAAGGACCCTGTTAAAAAACTCCTTTTCCTGCTTCTATTCTTGTGAGGACC